TCACATTTACGTTAGTAAATGGAATTATAAGATTAAAGTTTGCGTCTAATTTTACTTGTGGAATTTTATTATACGCTCAGAGGTACTTTCTTACCGTCACCGTTCGTCATAGCGCGTGTTGTAATTTTACATGCGCAGATACTACCCTCCTTGCAGTCAAGAAGCTACTCAACCTTACCCGAGGAAAAGGCTGAAAACTGATAAGACTGCGGGAGTTACGCAATATTGTGATAAAGGCGAACGTCGTCCCTGCTGTGTGGGGTGATAAACGCGACGCGGAGGCTCATAGACGCGCGCGGCAGACGCGGAGAGAAGGACGCCAGGCATCCCGTCGCGCGATGCGAGGAACGCTCGACGGGACATGGCGAGGCACCGGGAGAGAGGAATGCCGGTTAACGAGGATAAAGGGCATGGCGTAATGGACAGTGCGCGCTGAAATTCATGCCCGGCCATAAGAAAAATTGGACCCGCCGACGCCACGCCGCCACCGCCGCGCTTTTCCCACCGGGGAATTAATTCGTTGGAACTTATAACACGGCTTTCGCCGCGTGTGCTATACACGCTCCCCGATAAAGCGTGAACGTCGTTAGCAGGGAGAAAGAAATTTTAAGTCGGTGGGCGTCGACTTTCATTAATGAAGTTTTAAGATAAAGAACGTCACTTGAACGTAACTTCGAAATTTTGAACGTAAAATTATCAGAGCCTTTTTCTGTCAGATTTCTGTTGAAGTTAAAGCTGCTGAAAATTATCTTCATAAACGTTCATTTAGGTTCAATTAAATTACGAAATTTGTTTATTAAGAAAAAAAAAAATATTGTATATATGATACTAATTCACCTTTTCCGAAATCGTGCTACATATGGAACATTGTGGAATTTTTAGCCACAAAATATTTCGCGAATTGGCGGTCGAATGACGATAGAAGTTTGTCTCTTTTTTTTTTTATAAAGATCTCTATATTTCGAGAGATAAAATAATATTGTGTTTTGTGCGTTACTATCTGGCGAACGATAGTGCGGGAGTTTTGACAGGTGTATCTTGTCGTGTTTATCCACGTTACCGCAGAATCCCATCGTAACGGATAAAAATCGCGCAAGCGATTTTGGAGAAGATGCGATCTCAGCACGGATTATTTTCCTTTCCGCTTCAATCCGTTGATGCACTCTCTACTAAGAATACTTTCTCTCTCTCTCTCTCTCTCTCTCTCTCTCTCTCTCTCTCTCTCTCTGTTACCATACAAAGCCTGCACACACGTAAAACTTTTCAGATGTATTCGCGAACGTCGCGCTATACGCGTATAAAAATTTCCTGGAATTTCTACCATTTTTCCCGCCGTCAGAATGAGACAGGTCAGAACGAGAACTGACGTCGCAAGCTAGCTAATAATTATCACGGTCGTTGGCTGAGCTCTCATTTTCAGAATCGTATTTTTCCGAAATAGCCAGACATATTACGCATGCGGAACGTGAAATAAAATCCAGCAGGCCGAATTAATCGCCTACGATTCTACGATGGAACCAGCTGGCATTCGCGTACGTTAAATAGGTCGTTTCCAGGGACCTGAGCGCGCTAGGGCTCCATTAACCAGCAGCGCGGCTGCAGAATCCGGATCTGCGAATCCGAAAAACCAAGAGAGAGATCAGGCCCTTTGTTGGTCTCGATCTCCCATCCCCCTCTACAACCCTTTCAGCATCCGTCCTTCTTCCTGTTCTTGTTTCATCTCTCTTTTTTCCAGTGAGCGTTGACGCAATGCCAAATTGAATTCGGCCTCGCGCGACGGTTCGTGAATAATTCCGCGAGAGCATCCGTGTGTCGTCTCTGTCAACAATAATCGGCCAGTTGTCGCGCATCTCTCTTTCCATCTTGCACATTGCCTTTTTTCACTGCACCTACAACTGCAACCACGCGACGAGGACGGAATGAAAAAAAATATATACAGAGAGAGAGAGAGAGAGAGAGAGAGAGAGAGAGAGAGATATGTCACCAGTCATGGAGTTGAGGTTTTTCTCTCTTATATTTTATCCGGCGCGTGTGTATCGATTTATTCATCGCGGAAATCGAGCGTAACGAAGCGCAAGATGCCTCCAAACATTGGACCCTGTATCTGTCCACGTCTAATTTTGTATTCCACCCTTTCCATGTTCTTGTTATCACCTCTCTGCGCTTCCTTTTTTCTTAAATAAAAAACCATAATTTACCATCATGAACAGTTTCATCACTCGGTACAATTTCATTCCTCCGCAAATTCGCTACTTGTCACTTTAAATACACTAACTGAATTCTCGCAACATGCCATTACTATAGATATACGGCAGCTAATTAAATGTGATAAGGATGAATTTGTCGTAAAATTATATTTAACCGTCCCACTTTGCAGAGAGAATTAATTCATTAAACAGTATCTTTTTAATCTTGAAACTTGATTTTTCTGACTTGTTCTGGAAAAATTGCAATACGATTTCATTAACAATCGATGTAATCATATAAAGACGAATAAAAAGAGTTACAAATTAATTTTAATTACACTACCAATTAATGAAATATTTCTCGTATTTTAACGTGTTATTATTATAATTTTGGGAAATATTTAAAAAATATCGACATAATTTTGTAATATTCAGAAATAATTTGGGAATGAGAAGATTAATTTTGATGAATTTTGGCAGGTATTAATGATATCTGTGTGTTAAAGAGTATAATCCAATATTTGTGATAAATGAAGTCAGAAAAATACACATTTCAATATTTTACATGATAAAATATATCATCATCATGATTGGTGATGATTTAAAACAAGCATGTTGCATGTGACATGTGTTAACGGAAATCTTTTTTACGTATTTTACTTTCAATGTATTCCTGGATATATTGGCATGCGTATCTCTGACACTCTGTCTCGTGAATTTCATTTTACATTTTTTTCTGACAAGGTTTACACTCTGATCATCATACTGTTATTTAAACATATTCTCATTAAAAGATTGCATCGTCGTGTGCCTCTCGTAGAACCTCTCTGTTATTTTCTGAAATAGCTTTGTGTTATTATCACAAATGGAATATCGGCCTCGAACCATAATTTCCTGGCAATGCGACAGTTTATTTTCTCTCTCTTCTGTTCTGTAAATAGGAAGAAAATGTAATGGAAGGATACGAGACTGTTAACGGCCCATTTTCTTCCATGATGCAATCAGTGAAAAATAATTGCAGACAAAATCAACCGCTTACGCGTTCGAGTCTGTTTTAATTATCAAGCGCTTGCCACTAAGCCGATATTAATGGCGTGAGTCTGCTCGAACGTAGAATTCTCTCTCTCTCTCTCTCTCTTTCTCTTTCCCCTCCCTGCACGTGCCATCGCGAGCTCTCAGACGGTAACGATAATTTGTTTAAGGTGGCCAAAAGTAATATACATAAGTATATTTCTTTCTTTCTTCTTCTTTGACACAGTGAAATAAAGTGACATGGACGGGGAATCGCGTTCATTGTATTGATCTTTTTAATAATTCACGCAAAATTTTGTGCATTTTTATTATCTTTACCTTATAAGAAAGTTCGCATTCTGTTTCATCGCAAAATAGTAATGTCATTTTTTACTTTATAATTGCAATTATATATATATAAAATATTTTAAATAAAGAGACGACATACGAGATATAATGGAATAAAAAAAACTTGAAAATGACATTTTCTTGAAATGTCTTTAAACTATAATTCATAACATAGACATTTAGAAATCATTGACAATTCAAAATGTTATTTCTTAAAGACAATTATCACTATTTCATTAACAATAAGAGGTATAAAATTATGTAAATAATCTCATTTTTCGTAAAAAGAAATACGTAACGAAGAATGGTGGAAATTTATCTCATTGCCACTTGCAGATATTTATAATTATTTCGAAGTACATTGCGCAAGAGTCTGTCTCTCTCTCTCTCTCTCTCTCTCTCTCTCTCTCTCTCTCTCTCTTTCTTTAATCTCATATCTATTTGCGGAGAATTCTTTCACTTTATACAGCTTTATACATTTTTTATTATTTTATGAATATTATATTTCAGAAATAAAAACTTTTTAATAAAAGCGAACTCCAACATATTCGAATATCGAATAATGACTCAACTCCATTTTGCTTATATAAAATCGCATATTCGTTGATTCTATATTAGAATTACTTTATTATTGGGTTACCAGATTTTATTAATATTTCATTAAGCTTTTATATCTTATACGAGAAAATATCTCTCCCATTACAAATTTTGCAATTACATTATGATAATTTCGCCTGATATTTTATTCAAGAGAACTGTGATTACTCAGTGTGTATAATCATGATAAATGTGTGGAACAAAGGGACGTTCCTCTGGGATCGACGTTAGACTTTTTACGTCTGATATGAATTGTATGGCAAATGTAGGAATTAGAAATCGCGCATAATCCAACACCTTTGGCCAGGATTAACCTCGAAAAGCATCACGAGACTGCAATTACGCTACATTATAGAAAGGTGCATTATAGAAAGTAATTTTGTTGTTACGTGGTAGCGAACCTTCATAAAACTAGAACGAGCGCTTTTTCCATCTGTCGAGCTTGCATTATTTCATTCTTTCGGTGTTTTTCATCGTCTATTCCATTCACTTGTTCTACACGATTTCGTCCGCATTATGTTTCCATGTCTTGCTTGACAACGGATGTTTCGCAGACAGAAAGTAGAATACATTAAATACTAACAATAAGTATTGTGTAAAGACATTGTTATTCTCATTCTCTACGTAGCAATAATACAATAGCGATGATCAGAGTTTCGGATTTTGTCTCACACTCCTCAAGCGAGGATGTTTAAATTAAGATCGACTAAATACAAGTAACTTGTTTATATATGTATATATTTAATTCTAATTCATGTATCGTTATTCCATCTATTGGATATGCAATCATCGCAATCCATAATATGTGAATTAATATCCTCATGTCGAATTCAAAATCTGTTTGTTGTTCAATTTCAGAATACTATCCTACCTGAAGCTGTGCATTTTTGGGAACGAGCATTGATGGTGCGAGAGACGAAGAGTACTATCAGATTGAACAGGTAAGTTTAGTTTAATTATTAATCTTTTCGTTATCTTAGAATATATTTCATTTTTTACAGTCTATAGTAATTTTAGTAAGATAATGTTTCGTTTTTTTTTTTCTATTTATATTGGATGATAATGTTTCAATTCAGATACTTATTATGATAGGTACTTTAAAAACGATATTAAACAATATTAAATGAAAAATAAATAGTATTTACATTTATAACTCATATATTTTGCCTTCTTAGAAATTATTTAATTATTTAATAGGCAAAAAAAATAGGTTATATATTAATATCTGATAAATTTTATCGATATTTATGGATCAAAGCAGATCCAAATATTTTCTTCAACTACGTTGTGAAAAATTATTTATCAAAAGTTTTTGAAACTTACATAATTTTAAGTTAGGTACATCATCTTATTCTTCGAATCTTGATCTTTAAAATGAAAAAAACTGTTCAGTTACACTAACTTTAAGCAAAGAGGTACATTAATTTGAAATACACTATATTCCAATTAAGCAAATTTTTGATCGAATACCGATTAGAATTAAATACTTTTTTAGGAGATTTAAATAATTTGTAACTATTTTTCATAAGACTTTAGATAAGAAACTTATAATAAGAAACAGGTAAAAGTTATGAATATATTTCAGTATTAGAAATACTAATGAAAAATAGTATTTTTTAAAACAAGAGAATAAAAAGAAACAAAGGAAGGATATTAACGTTAGATGATATAATCCTCCAAAAACCATTTGCATTATTTTATCTTAATATGCGTATGTACATAGCAGTCGTAGCGTTTATTTGCATAGAAGCCAAGATGCTAAGCTAAAAGCGTGTGAATATGTATCGCACGTATTTGCGTCCGCATAACCGTTCATCTGATTTACTACTGCTAGAAACACGTACTAGCATTATTATGGTTCTAGTATTGTGACATGCATACTTGTCGTGTATTAATATGTTGCTGCGATAAAATGAACATTTGTTAGAAAAGTGATTATTTGATAGTGAGATTTTTATTGTTTAACGCGAATTTAAAATTTTTCGGAGATATTAAAAATCGGATTAACTTTTATTCTCTTATCTAGATTTTATTACCACACAATATAATGTAATATAAATTATGCAGTTTTGAGATTTTGGTTCTTTAGAAAAATGCTAGATATGCTAATGCACCTAAATTAATTCGCCATATTAAAAAAAAAATACAAAAAGATATGAAATTTCCTATGAAAGGTTGATATATTAGAAATTGTTTTGTAGCAACGTTAGCAAGCGGCTGTGTTAGTAGACACATCGGAAAGAGATAAATGTTCGCCGTTCGTTCTCGACCCTTTTCCGGATGCGGTAGCCAGCGTAGTTTGGCCGCAGATACGCTAGCAACCTAAATTAATGCATCCGTGTCCGCCGAGCAGATAAATAGAACACATGGAAGTGCATGGGCATAAAGTCGCGTGTACACATAACTGCATAGTTATGTGGTTTTCTGCGCTTGTAAACAAGCTCTACATTCCTCCCGTGTTTCTAACGAGGTATTACTTTTCACCGCGATATCTCGCACGCTGGCACGGTATTTCCGAAACCACGCGCGAATTGTCGCGCGTGAACAGCCATTCGCGAAGACAGTGTAGCTATGAATTTTCCGTGATTACGGATTTATGGCCCAGCATGTGGATGATTTAGTGCAAAAATGTAATTCGAGTAAGCTTTCTTGCATCGCAGATACGACCTCGTAAATTGAATGTTTTTATAAACAGTAAAATAAGATCTATATGCGGATTGGAAATATGAGAAAATAAACTATTGTATTTATGTTTTTATGATTGTTTCTATTTTTTTTTTAATTTAAGAATGATATTTATCATCAGATTTTAGATATTTTTGTATGAAATAATTGTCTCTTTTATTATAAAGTGAAATTAATTAAAATATCTTCGAAAAGAAGAATTTCTAAATTTAGCGATTTAATTAAACAAAAGTTAAAAAAGTATAATTTAGTATAGATATAAAATAAATTTATACGTAAGTTAATTATCAAATTAACGAATTTATGTTCAGGAATTTATCCTATTTATGTGTTTGATGTCTCATGTATGATTTTCAATATCATTTATTTATTACATATCATTGTGCTCGTTTTATTTGCGATATATTAAACTTATTTAGTATTGCGCTTCCTGAAAGATATCTTTTATTGAAATAAATTGAATTTATATATTTATTTGCATTTCTTCTTTTATTTATTATCTCTTGTTCTCGTTCTTTTTTCTTACTTAATAAAGATCATAAAAACTACATATACATTAAATGCATCAAGCATCAGCGGCAGGCAATATTTTATAACGGAACGATTATTCTGCTATCTAAGCCTATCTGGAATGTCCCGGACAAAAAAAGCTTTACGCTTCCGGTATTTGCTGTTGCCGCAAGCAAAGGGTGCTAAGGGTGAAAATTGCGCAAGGGATGACTACCCTCCGCTTAAGCCATGGTCAGTGCAAATTCGATCGATCGGAATGAACGTGCGCAGCGCGGCTTTCTTCAGTTTATCGTGCTCAAGCGAATATTTCGTATCCTTATAGGGTATTGATGTTCAGTGAATAAAAGAGAAGAGTTTACAAAAGACACGTGGAGATGTAAACTGGGTGGTGGATATAATACAGAGAAACGCGTGAACTAAAATAAGACAAAGAGAAACGTCGACTCGATACCGGGGTACATACATCAATCTCTTGCCAACTTTTATTCCTATTGCTGCCAATAAAAATCCAGGCGGGAACTCGTGGTAATCTTCGCGTGTCAGCTGCCTCCTCGAGAAAAACTTTGCGCGTTTATCGATTTCCTATGTATCATTATATACTATTTCCCATCACTACGGTGCCGGAGATAAGACATTTGCGATTAAAGTGTGTTCAATAGGGCTGATCGAGTATATCCGCGCGGATAAGACGTTAAACTTCGAAAAATCGAAAGTGCGAATAACATCGTGCTTTTCGCTAGTGATCAAGATTTTTGATGAACGGAATATATCTGTGTAAAGTACAGTAAATTGAGATAAGATTGCTTTAACAGCACTGTAGACACTGTAGTTACATTAACTTTGTGCTACAATAGAAAAGAAATAGGTTAGTATTTCAAACGCAATACTGTACACAACGTGACAGAAACGGTTTATGTATGTTATAGACTTCTAGCAACAATAGATATAATGATTTTTATCGTAATAAAAGAAAGCATCTCATGGGAAGTATTAGGAAATAATGTAAGTATCGATATGACACATCGTCGACATGGACTTTAAAACGTTTCGTTACGACAACGTTGTTTCATGGACAATGTTGAAAGTCTTTTCCTCTTTTATTTTGTTTATCTTTGATAAAAGGTTAAAATATTTGTAATACGCAGTTTCTCATGTTATTTCACTCCAAAATAATTCACAATAGAATCACAAAGTAAGAAGCAATTTAGCTATTTTTATTTTAAAAAACTGACGATTTTTTAGATACAAAATTTTGTTAGATAAACATATCTCTTTATTATAAAATTTTATTTTCGATATAAATTTATTATGAAAATATTTTATACTACTACATATAAATATTTAGATTTAATTGAGAAAAACTGTCACAATTATTTCTGAACCAGAACATGATTCCTATACGATTTAAGATGCTGCAAGATTTTTATAAAAATTATCTTCAATTTTTTTTTCATGAAAAAAAAAAAGAATATATTGCAGACATGCAATTTTTCATGAGACGTTAAGAAAATTACATTATTTATTTGCAATTTCTCTCCTTCCAAAGATTAATCGTGTCGAAATATCGTGTACAATGCGTGCCGGATTATGGACGGGCAGCACATTAATTCGTGTCGGTCTTCACAAAAGGTAAATGTAATGCCTGTCGCTCAGAATGCAGAGTGAAATCGGATCAAATGAAACCTGTGCACGGGGGTGCCCGCGCATACAAGCGCAGGATTGCGTTGGGCACGCGTCAAAGGAGATTCGATTTGAAAGAGCGAGAGAGAGAGAGAGAGAGAGAGAGAGAGAGAGAGAGAGAGAGAGAGAGGGAGGGAGAAGGAGAGAGGGGGGGAGGAGGAACTATTGCGTTTAAACGGGGCGAGCACGCGTGTAACGTTTATCGGTCGAATGCGCGCCATGATATGGTCGGTAGGGGGCAAGGATTGTGGAGGATGATTCGCGGGTCGTTTACATAACGCGGTATTACGGCATAACGACTGTAACGCTTTAATGCACTTCCGGACCGTGCATTGGGTTGCCGATTGAAGATGCTTCGAGAGTCTCTTTAGCCGTTTGCATGGAAGCGGTTTAACCTGCATTCTATCTATATATCTCTCTCTCTCTCTCTCTCTCTATGCTTTGGATTGTCAGAGAATCTGTCCATGTCTAAACAATGCACTCAAATCTATCGCAGCATACTCTTCAATAGAAACAATATCTATTATCTCTTGAAACATTGTTTAAGCATTTTGTGTTATCTAACCGATTTATATCACATTTTCTTTCAGTCGTTTCTGTATTTAGCTTATCTAAAATATAAAATATAATAAACTGTCTATTATATGCAGTAATTATTTGATAATTATTAATGATAAAGTAATAAACTTTTAAAATATCAATTTTTTTCAAAATGCTATAACTTTTTTTTGCACACATTATATTTAAGAGATATATGTGTAACATTTTGGACAGTTAATTTAAAATGAAATATTTTGCTTTATAATAGATATTTTATAATTAATGCTTATTATAATTTATACTTATTACTTGTTAGTATGATATACAATAGATATTATTTATGATAGCTGTTATTAGTGGAGATGAATAAAACAGAAAAATATATTAATGACCATATATTTATGGTGTCTATTCGATACAATGAAACAGCAGTAGTAATTTTATGTTTAAGGCGGCTGTATCTAGTATCTAGGGAACCTGAATCCTAGCAGCAAGTGTAATTACTTCGCGTCGAACATAAATCTCA